AAGAGCAACGTCTCGGGTATGTCATGTGCTCGAGCACGTCAACATCTTAGAAGCAGCCGCACGTAAATTAAGGGCGTGCAGAGGAAGGCCTCAAGGAAGCAGCCGGTGTTGGCGCTGGAGCAGATCGCCGCAGCTCTTCCACAGGTCGTGGAGGCTGCCATTACGAAGAATTCAGTCGGATCCTGCTGGTTTTGGTGAGTGCTTCCTTTGAACTGTGAGTTATCTTTGTTCCTTTTTTGTGGTTGGTGCCTTTGCGTGGAGGAACTAGCAAGTCTTTGATCAAATCGTGAATGGCAGTCTGAGGTAGTGATGCGGCGAGAGCTCGCCATCAGTCTAAGATCACATGCAGACACGACCTGGGAAATCGTGCAGCTCCTGCATGCAGTATAAATCTTCTCCCTGACTCCTCCCAATCTCCCTCCGAACACTTGTATTAGAACGTGTCGTCATTGCACCATGAATAATAGAAAATTTTACTATGCTTTGTATTTTCTACATCTGGGAACGTGCCATATAGACTCCTGGTAGAACTAAGCCGCAACTAGCTCATGAGTTTCTGTGAAGAATCTCACGTTGTTTGTCTGAAAGTCCTCTGGGTTGGCAATCAATAGGAAAAAAGGTTTCATCTTCGGCAACAAGATAAGTTTTTTTTTTGTGTTTTTTAATTGAGACGTATTTGAGCGAGAAATTTAATTCTTTTGTAGCATGGTTAAATCCATACTTGGACAATTCTTCGGAAAATCTATTTATTGCAGTCATTTGACGAAGCTAAACATGATATGTACGTAATTATGTTTACTAGGGAATGGCGGCAGGAAGGACGTGAGAGAGGAGGTAGAGATGGGCGGAGGCGCGAGGCGAGCTACGGAGGAAGTGTGAGGAGAGAGAGGAGATTGCGGGGTTATCTCAGGACGGTAGATGCGAACGTGTTTTCCTCTCCCCTTTCTCTCGCTTTGTTTTTTTGAAGGGTTTCTCTCGCTTTGTTACGACGTGATGGCCCTGGCAAATCCTTTGTGCCCACGTGGATCCAGCGAGAAGGCGCCCAGCCTGCGTACCATATTGTTTTGGATGAACTATGAACAGAGGGATAACTTGTGCATCATCGACAGCGAGTCCGGAAGTGGAGGAACTTGGCCGGTACGATGGCTTCGTGATCAGAGGGAACATTTCAGTATATATACTTGTAAATCTGTAACAAATATTTAATTCAGAATTTCCTTGTAAATCTGTAAGAAATGTTTAATTCAGAATTTCCTTGTACTGTAAGACGAGTATGCATTTATTTGGTTCATAAAAATAATTTTAACAATCTTGAGGTGGTGAGCTTCAATTGGGGAGGCGGAGAAATAAATATAGTGGTGAAGAAGAAGAAGAAAAAGAAGAAGACATGATTGGCCTTGGTGTCGAACTATTAGAATAGGCATATGCCCCCCTTGCAACGCACGGGCAATTACCTATAAATTAAAAAATGAATAATTTGAAACTGTTTTAGGATTTCCAAAATATTTTAAATTAAAAATTCACAAATTTGTATAAAATTTGGATTTTTTTACAAATGTTCACAGATTTAAAAAACATTATTGAATTCATTTTTTTTTCAATTTCAAAACGCATCCATCAATTTAAAAACCCCTACAAAAATCAGAAATGTAAATAAAAAATCAGCATAAGTTTAAAAAAGTTAATAGGAAAAGTATGTACATAGTATATAAAAAAGTTCATTATATATTAGAAAATGGTCAGTGTCTATTAAAAAACATTTTCAACGTATATTAAGAAATATTTAGTGTATATTCGAGAAAAGGTCATCGTATATTAAAGAATTGTTCATCATCGTGTATTTAGAAATTGTTCACCATGTATTTAAAAAAAAAGAATCCTGAAAGTGAGAAGAATTTTGAAAACACATTTTTTAATTTGTGAACAACTTCTTAAAACAGGAACATTTTCTGGAATTTCAAACAATATTTGAAAACACTAACATTATTTGGATTAAAAAAATGAAAATAATAATATATTTTGAAATTTACAAACAGTTTTCTAAAAAGAAAACTTTCTCAATAAAGGAAACGAATCAAAAAAATAACAAAATAAAAAAGAGAAAAAACCCACAAAACTGCCATTATTATTTGGTCGGTCCATTTCACTACGCTGCGGGCGTTGCCACCAGTTGTTTGAGGGAGCTCCTATGTGCCGCTTATTACGGCACACAGTCGGCGCTTCGCACAAGGGACCGGCCGACTGGGCCGGCCCATCGGGGCGTGTGGATACGTTAGCGGGCGAATAATTCGCAAACAATTACACGCGATGCAGTGGGTTCGAACCGTAGACCTCCTGCTACGCTTGATAGTCCATTGCCACCTGACCTAGCATCAATTACTGAATAAAAAAGCAGCGCAACCCTATAAGAAGGAACTCCAACGAAAGATCCGATTTTTAAATAAAGTTCAAACGCAACCTTTTCTCTGCAAACGTGCATATTATTATGAAACGCGACTTTTTTAAAACATAGTAAATAATATTTCAGAAAAAGGAACTCAAACAGTTTTCTAAAACATAAAATATTTTTGGAAAATCTTGATTATTCTTAAAAACATCAACAATTTTCTAATCATTGACCAATTTTGAGAAATGGGAACATATTTTCAAAACTTTGAATGAAGTTTGCAAAACAGGAATATTTTTTAAAATTTGAACAAATTCAAAAGTACAAACATATTTAGGATCTACGAAAAAAATTGAAACCGGGTATTCTTGAAATTCCGAGAAAAATTGGAAAAAGTTAACATTTTTTTGAAAAAGGGAACATTTTACACTGCTGAACAAAATATTAAACGCGAACAATTTTTAAATACACGAAGATTTTTTTATACTCCGGAACAAATTTTGAAAATGGTAACATTTTCAAAACTCTTGATTTTTTTAAAAAATATGAATAATTTTGAAAGCACAAACATTTTTTGAAAACAGGAACATATTAAACTCCCGAACAAAATATAAAAATGTGAACAATTATTGAAAACACAAACATTTTATTTAAACTAAGGAACAAATTTGGAAAATGGGAACATTTTATGAAACTCTTGGGTTATTTTTCTAAAACACGAACAATTTTGAAAACACAAACATTTTTTGACAACGGGAACATTTTAAAATCCCGAAGAAAATAATAAACATGGACAGAATTAGAAAACACGAACATTTTTTGAACTCGGGAACAAATTTGGAAAATGGGAACATTTTATGAAACTCTTCAGTTTTTTTTAGAAAATACGAACAATTTTGAAAACACAAACATTTATTGACAACGGGAACATTTTAAACTCCCGAACAAAAAAAACGGAACAAGATTTGAAAAGATGAACATTTTTTAAACTCTGGAACAAATTTTGAAAATGGAACATTTTCTAAAAATCTTGATTTAAAAAAAACATGGACAATGTTGAAAACCGAAACATTTATTGAAAACGGGAACAATTTTCAAAGTTGGAACCTTTTTTGAAACTCCTAAAAAAATTGAAAACATGAACAATTTTGGAATTTGTGAACAGTTTTTGGAATATAGAATAACTGGAACATTTTTTGGAAGTCCCAAACGATATTTTAAAAGCGAACATTTTCTGAAAATAAGAACATATTTTCAAAATTTTGAACATTTTTTTGAAAACACGAACATTCTTTTTAATACGCTGAACATATTTTCAAATTTGCAAACAATTTGGAATTCTATACATTTTTAAAATTTCTGAATTTTTGAAGAAAGAAACAAAAAAAGGAAAGAAATGAAAAAAGAAGAAAGAAACAGGAAAGATAAAACCAAAACGAAGATAAAGAAATAAACAGAAGAAAAAATAAATGAAAAATAAAAAACCTATAAGAAAACCAGCCAGAAAAACAACAGGAAAAAAACCGATTCGGGGAACCTTCTAGAAGGTTCCCAAAACCGGGAGAAACCACCCGCC